ATCCAGGGTCCCATATCTTTAACTATTTTCAAATATTTTAATACATCTTTTTTTTTTTTTGTTAGTTGTTGTTGTATTAAAACATTTGATATTTTTCATCAAATAAACATTTAACCTTTTAAATACCCTGTTGTTCTCATAACCCAACCCTTATTTTCTTTATTGGTCTAGAGGGGAAGTTTTTACCATAATGAAGAAGTATTTAATGACATGAAAACAAAAGAAATGACAACACGCATCAACCCTCATTGTTATACCTGTAACACTTTATTTCCCCATCACTGACGATTGTTTGTACTTTCAATCACTCCAGGATCCCTGACCGAGTGTTACGACGAACTCGGCAACCGCTACCAGCTACCGGTTTATTGCCTGGCCCCGCCTGTCAACCTGATTACAGAAAGAAGTGAGGAAGACCTGTCGGACAACCCTGAGCCCCTGACGACGCAGAAGAAAGAGTTCCAGCTGAAGGTACGGCTCTCCACCGGCAAAGACCTGCGTCTGAACGCCAGCATGACCGACACCATCGGCTTGCTGAAAAAGCAGCTACAAGCTCAGGAGAGCATTGAGCTGGCCCATCAACGCTGGTTCTTCTCTGGAAAGCTCCTCACAGACAAGACCCGCCTGCAGGACACCAAGATCCAGAAGGATTTTGTTATCCAGGTCATCGTGAACCAGCCGACACCAAACAACTAAGACGGAGCGGACAGACTACAGAGGGATAAAGGACCAAACCACAGCAGCTGAAAGAGCGTCGAACAATAAAACGTTTTGCACAAAAATGAATCGAGACAGACAAGCGTCTTGATCCTGCTGTTTTAAAATGCTCCATGATTCACAGCGGGAATGCATCAAGCCCTCTCTGTAATCGAATGTCTGGAAAAACAAATAAACCAAATGCAACGGATCGCATCTGTACCGACTTGAGCAGAAGTGCCAACGTGAATTTGGTAGCGAAGCACACTGATTTGTGTCTCTTGACTATGCATATCCTGCAAAATACCTATATGATCCTCTGAAAATGATCTCCCCTTTTAAGATAATTGAACTTGAGCTTCATTTTGCACACTTGAGTATCTTAGAATAGTCGTGCCTTGAAAGAAGAGTAGATGGTTCCTAAATGCTGTTTTTATTTCGCTTACGAGGCATGTTCGGTCACTTTCACATGCTTTGTATCTTATGACTGATGTCTTTGAGCACAACACGGTGCTTTTTCTATGCAATCTCGAAACCGGAAAAAGACGCTGTGCTAAAAGGCTCGAGTGCACAAAGACGCATTAAACGGACAGTGACGCGACATCTTCATCTGCTGACTCCGTGCCCTGTAGATTACAATCATCTTGTAGATGAAACCATACTGCTGCCTCTTAAGGGAAGATTGGACACACTATCAGTTTAATGGCTGTTCGACTTCCTCTTCCTCTTTTATAGTGCTTTTATGCTGTAAGCGCTCAGGCTGCAATCAGTCAATATTGCTACTATTTTGAGAGATTATATTCTGTACTATTCCAATCTTTACCTTGCTTTTCTAATAACTTGGAGTAAGACTTTTTACTGATTCTTAAACATTTATCAGTGGCATTACAAGGATGTTATATTTTGATTATAATTTACCACGAGCATCACTTTAAGAATGCATTCTGTAACGGAGGTTATCTGTATTAGGCCTGTAACATGTTCACAAACGTTCGGTCGTCAATGTCCGTTCAGTTTAATGCGGATGCAAAAACGTTTCTTTTACTAAAGGTTTTCTGCTCCTGATTATATCACCGTGTGACTCTCAGCGCACACCACACCGGTTAGAAACAGCTCGTTACCTCACTGGCAACTGTTCCTCATTAGTCTTAAGTCTCCCGAGCGCTGGCGTGTTCATTATATGTTTCTCTAGTATCACGCCATTCCTTCTACTCTGGGTTACTTTTCTTCTGTTGTTTTTGAGCATTTTTTTCTTATAAACAAATACACATTGGTGTAGATAAACCTTTTTGGATGAGAGAAATCACATTAATTTATCATTGCAAACTCCAAAAGTTTCAGTCACTGTGCAAATTGCATCATTTTGCATTCAAGTAATATTCCAGGTTAAATACAAGTTAAACTGTACCGAAACCTCTGTATTTCACCGTAATCTACCAATTTCCATAATTAATGAACTCCATAATTTAATATTTATGCACTTGCAATGTAAGTCCATGTGGTACTTTCTTTGGTAATAGACAGTATGCAGTAGCTTAAAGGGATAATTCAGCACAAAATTAAAATTCTGTCATTATTTACTCACCCTCAAGTTCTAAACCTGTGGAACATAACATTTTAAAAGTTCTCCGTCTCTTTTTTTTTTTTTTTTTTTTTTTTTTTTTTTTTTTTTTTTTGTCTCTTTTTTTTTTGTTTTGTTTTTTGTTCCTTTTTTTTGTTTTGTTTTTACATAAAAAGTTTAAATTATGAGATAAAAGGTCATGTTTATGAGAAGAAATGAGATAAAAAGTAATAATTATGAGATAAAAAGTCAAAAGTTTGTTTGTAATTATGAGCTAAAAAGCAAAATTATGAAAAAAGTCAGAATTGTGATGTTCATAATTCTGACAAAACTTCGACTTAAGTCAAAATTATGACTACTGTTATGATTGAGATACTATCTCAAAAGTCATAAATCTGACAAATTGCATTTGATGATCTCAATTTGGGCTTATATTTTGACTTTTCATAAGTTTACATTTTTGCCAGAATTATGATTAGTTGAAATTGAGATCTCAATTTCAACTTTTCATCATTTTGATTTATCTAAATTTATCTCATAATTTTTGTATCATTTTTATCTCATAACAAAAGCTGTAATAATAACAATAAAATGTGACTTATTTGTCCATAAAATGAAAGTCAATAGGGTCCATTGCAGTTTTGGACCCCATAAGCTGTCGTTATATACAAAAACAGTAGAAACATTTATATATCTTTTGTGCTTTGCAGAAGAAAGTAAGTCACACAGGTTTGGAACATGAGGGCGAGTAAATGATGACAATTTTTATTTTTGGGTGAACTATCACTTTCATCTGGAATATTTCCAGTCCTGCACATTGTAAAGTACATACCTTGTAGAAATAACTTGGCATCATAGGCATGGGCAAAAACCTCCAATCATGGCTTAGGACAAAGATGCACTCAGTACCTGCCATCATTTATGTGCGTCGTGATTTACGTGCTTTGATAAGAAAGAAACGGTTCACAGTAATATTGTGTACTCCTTAAATCCTGCTGCCTTTTTCCCAGGTTGCTAGCGGCGGGAGCTGTGTGACCTCCGGCTGTCTTGATAAACCTGTCTGAAGGAGAGTGCATTCTCCTGTTCTTAGCACAATATGAAACCATTATGTGACAACTGCCCAAATAGATGCAGTGTTGCTGCTAATGATAGAGCCAAAGCAACAAACCTTGATAGTTGTTCTCTCATCGGCATCGGCTTTGTCTTTTTGTTAAACAAACATGTCAGGAAAAAACCCCCGAATTGCTACACTTCTGTTAGTAATATTAAAAATGAATGGAAATAGACAGAAGATCATTACAAGGGTTATAGTGACAGTACAGGTATAGCTCTGTGTTTTGGGTTCATCCACATGTTTTACAAATGATTGTGATCAGGATGGTTTTAGATTGGCATCATAGGCATGGGCAAAAACCTCCAATCATGGCTTAGGACAAAGATGCACTCAGTACCTGCCATCATTTATGTGCGTCGTGATTTACGTGCTTTGATAAGAAAGAAACGGTACACAGTAATATTGTGTACTCCTTAAATCCTGCTGCCTTTTTCCCAGGTTGCTAGCGGCAGGAGCTGTGTGACCTCCGGCTGTCTTGATAAACCTGTCTGAAGGAGAGTGCATTCTCCTGTTCTTAGCACAATATGAAACCATTATGTGACAACTGCCCAAATAGATGCAGTGTTGCTGCTAATGATAGAGCCAAAGCAACAAACCTTGATAGTTGTTCTCTCATCGGCATCGGCTTTGTCTTTTTGTTAAACAAACATGTCAGGAAAAAACCCCCGAATTGCTACACTTCTGTTAGTAATATTAAAAATGAATGGAAATAGACAGAAGATCATTACAAGGGTTATAGTGACAGTACAGGTATAGCTCTGTGTTTTGGGTTCATCCACATGTTTTACAAATGATTGTGATCAGGATGGTTTTAGATTTAAGGCAGTGAAGAGCGACCTTGCTGTTATTTTTGCAGTAATTCTAGGCGCATGGTTCGATACCATTCTTCTGCATTCAATGTTTCAGTAGATGTTTTATGTATTGTTTATCTTTGTTTAAATACCTGTCTGATACGTATGATGTGGATTAAGGTTTGTCTCGTGACATGAAGTTTCCAGATTTGACTGAGGAAGCTGCTGGGAAGCCATACATGTGGATCTTTTTCGCCCCACTGTGTTGGGACGGTTTCAGGAGACTCACTTTGGACGTTTTTCTTTCAAATCCCAGATTATAGGAAGCCATTACACTTTACTCAAGCCTGCTGTGGGCCTGTGTATGGAAGCTCATTTCTGCCACATAAGAAAAAATTATGCTTTACTAAATCATAATTGTGACACAAGACATATCTCAAAGTTGAGATACAAAGTCATTGAGATAAAAAGTCAAAATTGAGATTACAAAGTAAAAAAAAAAAGATAAGTTGTAATTGTCATGATGGACCATCTCATTTTTTCATAATTTCGCTTTTTATCTCAAAGTCGTAATTATGACTTTGTATTTCATAATTTTAACAGTCGTAATTTACTTTTTATTTCCTAATTTTGACTTTGTCATAATTATGAATTTTATCTCATAATTATGACTTCTCATAATTATGGTTTACTAAAGCAAGATTTTTTTTTCTTGCATGGCAGAAATGTCCCACCCACGAAATACATGAACTTTCATAAACCTTTAGAGGAATTCACATGAATTTCTTCGTAGATAAATATATCTGTATATTAAGAGATAAAATGTGTGAAATTCTTATACTTCAATGTGCTTACGGCCTATTTTACGAAAGTTATGTACATTTACAAGGTAATTTGTTTATCGGATGTTTTAATTGTCAATTAAAATTAACAGCTGGGAAAGCAAACAGATGTTTGTCAGTAAACTGCTAATTATTTCAACATGTTCTCAGATCTGCTAGTGTTCACCATTTCCTCTGCGTCAAGAACTTTTTTGTGTGTCAAGGACAAGTTAGTCTGACCTTAACTAATAAAACAAGTGTTTATAGAATTTTTAAGTAAGCAGAAAGGGTTAATCATCTCAGACTGCATTGACTGACCGCAAGTAGCATGTTGAAATGGTTAAAGCAGCCAAGTTTTGCACCTCTCAGTGTAAAATTAGGTTTAAGCTTTAAAAAATGTGTAGGTTATGCATTTTAATACCACTTGACATGCTGATATATGTTCAGCATCTCTCATAAAAAGTGAATTCTGATTGGCTGTGAATGTTTTTAACGTTCACCAGCTAGAAAACTGTTACTACATAACATACATACACCAGCTAGCTGTACACTCTAAAAAATGCTGGGTTAAATACAACCCAGTGCTGGGTAAATGAACTTCACAATTCTCATCGAATTAGAATGATTATTGGAAAAATAAAATTTGTTATAGCTATTTCTGGACATTCTAGCATTTATGAGTAACTATTCATATATAAGAGTTCTTAGAAATGTACTTTTTATTAGTGTTTCACGTTTTAAGTTTTTTTTTATTTTTTTTTACAAATATTGAAATAGTTCAATAAAAGTTAAACTTAAATATTAAATAGCAGGCTAATTATTATTAAATTCCCTTATGAAAATTAACCGTGGGTTTACAACAAATAAATCCAAAAATCCAGGGTTACTGTAGTTAAAGGATTCGTTCACTTCCAGAATAAACATTTCCTGATAATTTACTCACCCCCATGTCATCAAAAATGTTCATGTCATTCATTCTTCAGTCGCGACGAAATATAATGGACTTCAATGGGGACCAATGGGCTGAAGGTCCAAATTGCAGTTTCAGTGCAGTTTCAAAGGGCTCTACACGATCCCAGCCAAAGAATAAGGGTCTTATCTAGTGAAACGACCAGTCATTTTCTCAAAAATAAAAAATTGTATATACTTTTTAACCACAAATGCTTGTTTCGCACTAGCTCGACTTCACGCATTACGTAATCACGTTGGAAAGGTCACG